GGATAGTGGCTAGCAGTGGAATCCAGGACGCGCGTTTCGTCCTATTTGGGACTCGTCAGCTGGATGTACCTGCATCTCAGAGTTGATGTTCACTCTGAGACTCGAACCCAGTACCCTCGCTTCAAACGCCATCGCGTTATCCACTCGGCCACTGAGTCCTGATAGCCACTTGCTTGTGAATTAAGGTATATCGAGGCAATACGCACAGTATGCACATATGCCAATTAGAGACTGACCAGTTGCAGTCCTAACAAATCGATGGGAAGATTCAAACAAACAATACTAAGTTGAATTTAAACTTCACCCCATCGCACAAGCAAGTGGCTATCAGGACTCAGTGGCCGAGTGGATAACGCGATGGCGTTTGAAGCGAGGGTACTGGGTTCGAGTCTCAGAGTGAACATCAACTCTGAGATGCAGGTACATCCAGCTGACGAGTCCCAAATAGGACGAAACGCGCGTCCTGGATTCCACTGCTAGCCACTATCCATCTCTGCTAACCATGCTTGTGAATTAAGGTATATCGAGGCAATACGCACAGTATGCACATATGCCAATTAGAGACTGACCAGTTGCAGTCCTAACAAATCGATGGGAAGATTCAAACAAACAATACTAAGTTGAATTTAAACTTCACCCCATCGCACAAGCAAGTGGCTATCAGGACTCAGTGGCCGAGTGGATAACGCGATGGCGTTTGAAGCGAGGGTACTGGGTTCGAGTCTCAGAGTGAACATCAACTCTGAGATGCAGGTACATCCAGCTGACGAGTCCCAAATAGGACGAAACGCGCGTCCTGGATTCCACTGCTAGCCACTATCCATCTCTGCTAACCATGTCTCTCCTTATGTTTAAAATTAGTGTTTACTAAAAATAAACGAATGTATGAGCATAGTTACAACAGACAATCACCATTATCTGTTCGCTGAGCCGGAATACTAAAATACCCACCTAAATGTCTTTCTGTTTGGTTTAAGCTACCTAATAGGGCAATAAAGTCACTTGGTACGAGTTGTATGTCTGAGCGTTTAGCTTTTTGAAGAAGTTCAGAGAGCTGTTTGTAAAAGTCATCTTTCACTTTATTCGGGCTGCACTCAGTGGGAGCGTATGCAGAAACGACGTAAGGGCAACGATCTGTGTCCCGATCCTTCCGAGTTCTTACGGAGCCGTTTTGCCGAACAGCGAGTAAGCGACTGTTAACGGGGATTCACTCTAATAGTGCTTGTTCTGCCCTCGTACTTAGTGCTATGCCTACACCTGCAAGTCCACGAGAACTGGCTGTTATGATTTTTTAAAAATAGATTGTCTCCAATTTGTTGTGATTTTATGTCCGGCTTTCATCCACCAGTAGGAATACGACTTTTCCAATCTTAGTACTGTGCGAAATCAATGACGTTCGACCGGTATGAGCAGTCTAGCGTCATTATTAGTCGTTTGTCCGCCTAGCCCTTCCAATTGAGTCCAGAACACCAATGACACCATACTCGGTTTATATATCAGACAGACCGCATCACACCATAAAATGGGAAATAATATTTGTACAGAATACAGCCGAACGTGGCTGTGAACGTGGGAGACAATAATCAATAAACTAAATATAATTTAGGGACAGAAAGTCAGTCAGTCACAACGTAGAACTTCGTACGGACGTACATCAGTTGTCATACCACATCAGTACAGATATGAAGTTATCGATTCAAATCCCATAGTGGTAGAGGTAGTAAGAGTATAAGCAGTAATCTCAAAGATTAGGGTTTGAAGATGTTATTGAAGGAATATAATCCAGTGAAATAAATTTGGAAAAAGAAAGAAGATAGAGACATGAAGAATTCAGAAGACATTAGAATTTGGCAGAACACAAATAGTGGATGCACCTTCGCCATTGCAAACGATTTTGAGCCATGTCATTTAGGGTCTCTAACCATCGATTGCTATCATCTCGCGAATCCCAACCAGGTAGTCTACACCTACCAGCATGGCTCAAACCAATTGTCAGTTACTTCATGGATGTGTGCTACGTTTTGGTCTGGCCGCCCCTAGCTTTCTTCCAATCCACTCCTACACCATAAAACATTGCACGTAGGGGGCAGTCGGTGGTTGGGCATACGTAACACGTGTCCCAGCCATCTCAACTGATCAAGTTTCACTACTTCATCAGTCGATTTCCCATCCTTACTTAGTACCCGTTTCCTAACAACTGCATTACTTACCCGGTGGTCCCAGGATATACGAGCAATGCTTCGAAGACATCTATGATCGAACACTAGTAGCCTACGAATATCCTCTACTCTTATTGGCCATGTTTCACTGCCATAAAGTAGGACGAAACGAACTGCTGAACAGTAAACCCGTCCTTTAGTTGCCAGACGGATATCTCGCCTACGCCATGAACGACGCAAGTTGTTAAAAGCTAGACGAGCCTCCTGTATCCGTGCTGAGATTTCGTCACATACCAGACCACAAGGGCTGATGAGACCCCCAAGATAAGTGAAGCGGTCGACACGCTCAACTACGCCACTCCCTATCATTAGTTCAGGTGCCGATGCAAACCAATCCTGAAGTAAAATTTTGCACTTCGAGGGGGAGAATAGCATCCCGAACATGCCTGCATTGTTGCTTATGGTGATCAGAAGATTGCATTTTGTCAGCGTCTTCACCAAATAGAACTATGTCATCGGTGTATTCCAAGTCAACGAGTGAGTCTCCCGGTAAAAGTTCAACTCCTGGAGATTGAGATGATGAAAGTGTTATCTCTAAAAGCATGTCAACGATAACGTTAAACAAGAATGGAGTGAGTGGACAGCCCTGACGAACACCACTTGGAGTAATCAATTCTGATGACAGTTCGCCATAAGAGATAAATCGACCAGTCGTGTTTGAGTAGAGAGCCTTTATGAGGTTAATGTACTTCTTTGGTACTCCTTTTAGTGTCAAACACTGCCATAGAACCTTACGATCAACGGAGTCAAATACCGCCTTAAGGTCGAGAAATACTACGATTGTGGGACGTCTGAATGTGTGTCTATGTTCTGGGACCTGACGTAGAGTGAATAACTGGTCTATACAACCACGTCCAGGTCGGAAACCAGTCTGGTTTTCTCTAGTCTGCTCTTCAAGAGCTTTGGTTAGGCGTCCAAGTATTATTGAAGCTAATATTTTAGACACTATATTAGTCAAAGTGATCCCTCTGTGATTGTCACAAGAGGACTTTTGTCGTTTCTTATAGACTGGCAAAATCAGTGATTAGGACCAGTCAGATGGAATTACGTTCAGTTCCCAGATTCTCCCTAAGACCTCAGCCAATTTCGCTGCTAGTACTGGACCACTATCCTTAAAAATCTCAGGGGTAAACCTGTCAGGACCTGCTGCTCTCCCTCGCTTCAGATTTCCTATAGCTTTTTCAACCTCGTAAATAGCTGGTGGACTTACGTTAACTTGCCATCCAAGTCAACTGCGAATCGTGGGAAACCGAAGACCAGTTGAACTGATCCCTAAAGTGTTCTGCCCATCGATTCAATCTCCTGGATTGAGAATGATGTGTCCATCTATTCCCGAGATAGTTTCGCTGACAGTTGGATTCCTAATACCGGTTTCTTTAACAAGTCTGAACAGTTGTCTTCTGTTGCCTATTGCTACTTCCTTTTACATCTCTCTTGCTTTCGCTACCCACCACTGTTCGCGATCGTTGCGTAGGCTTCTTATTAGCCTGCGCTTAAGTTGACTCCGCTCTTCCTTATGTTCAGAGCCAGATGGGATGAGTTTTCGAGCGTCTATCAGTGCGGTAGATGCTGCTGAGATCCATTGTTTCTCCCTAACCTTATGGTTTACCGTACTAGCGGATATCACCGCTGTTTCCACAGCTTTTCGGATGTCATTCCACGCTGCCTTGGGGTGGGCACAACTTACATGGCTGCCTAACTGTTTTTCTAGTTGTTCCTGAAATATATTCTTAGCTTGCCTAAGAGACGGTTGGATACTCGTAATGTATGTGTCAAGCATCTTAGTTAATAAAGATTGCCAAGGCTGTCAACTGATTTGTCATATTTGCTTAGTAACTTATGCCTAACCTCAATAATCCTGAATCAGTTTTCCAACAATACACGGTCAATTTTCAAAAGACACCTAAAATGGAAATCCTGCATCTCATGAATACCTTGCACTTTTATAGGATATATTTCACAGCTGTAGAGTAGTACACAGAAAAATTGTCATGAAGCACACTCGTCCTTTGGTTAGTAGACGGGAAACTTTTTTAAGCCACTAGTAATATGATTTGGCAAAAGCCAATTAGCCCTTCTGAATCCATGGTGAGACTTTATTAGGCGCCAAATGATCTGGTCTGATGGGATTTTCAAGACGTGAAATGGTCAAAGAGCTCAACTGCTTCGCCCGCTATGATCGATCTAGGGATGATGCAAGGAAGTTTGGAAAAGTATTTGCGTTTAGAGATAAACGCATCCAGAACATACTTGAATTGTTACTCAAGGAACTTGGGGGACTTTATATGAGCTCATTTAACAAATAGAATTATGTCATCTGAATCGATAAGCGAACCTCCTGGTAAGGATAAATATTCGGACGAAGGTATTAGTTCCGAAAGTTTCGATGACAAAGTTAAATAAGAATGAGGAACATGAACAACTCTGACGAACACTGTACGACGTGACCAATCCTGGTGACAGTTCACCATAAGCTCTAACTTGGCTAATGTTCGAGAGAATAATCCTCAAATGGTTCATGTAAGCATTTGATTTAACTTTCAACGAAATATACTGTCATAAGAAAGGGATCGATCAACGTAGATGAACAGTACCTTCAAGTTAAAAAGCACAACCAAAATTGAGAGTTGGAATGCATGTCTAAATATCAGAACCTAATGGATAGTGCACGTTTGACCGACACATTCATGTCTAAAACCAGCCTGATTTCAAACATAGAATGAAAGGAAAAGACGAAACGCGAAACAAACACTGAACATATTACATAAAATCATATCTGACCTGAATTCAATTCTTCTAAACGTGCTACCAGCCGTAACACTGTAACTGCAGACACATCAGCTAGCGACACCTTTGGAACAATTTTATTATTACATAAGTTAGCTGAATTGATTCCAGTTACATCATATACCTGAAAATCGTTCAACATGTTAAAACAACAGCTTACAGCCTTAACTCTATGCTCCTTACTACACCTCTTCAAATGTTTTTGAAGCTTTGAACGGGTGACGAGACTATGGGAGGACATTGATTTTGGAAGAAAAGAGCTTACTGTGATGGATCCAATGGACAAGCCACTTTAGCTACGGATGTCTCCTAAATTTCAGTTATACAAAACATCAAACACTAACGCTTACGTGGGTAAAACAGCGATTTGAACCCTTAAGACGAAGTTGACGACAGTATTTATTTTTTTCATTCATAAAATATCCGCATCTTTCTTCACACGCCATTTAGAAGTCGGTAACTACTGAAAGTAAAAATTGGTTGTCGCAAAGTGAGATTTGAAGAAAATACAGAAACAAAAGTTTTTTATTATTCTATTCTACATCTTTCATCAAACTATCTAAAGGTGAAGCATACTCATCCATGAATGATTTATAATATACAGGATGTGCTTTTAAACACCCTAATAACTGAGAATGAAGTTGAATAAACAAGTTTCGATTTTGCTGTTTTTCAAAAGCATCCTCGCTTTTTAGAAATTTGTCAATGTTCTGCATAAAATTTCGAAAGAAGTATCCACAGGGGCCAGATATATATGAACTAACACATGAGCAATGCCAGTTGAACTGGCCATTTTCAGTTCGAAATCCAGGCTTTGAAAATTTACGATCAATATCGTAGTAGTCTTCTAAACGCAAGGTTGAGTGAGCCTCTTCTCTGGTTAAAAATGTAACGTCATGTTTGATTGGGTTGGACATGTTAAATTCCCTTGCAATGACTTTGATTCAGTAAACCAATTAATAAGAATGAAGTGGTATTGATATAATGTTGTTTAGAACACGAATCCAACGACCATTAAAGATCCACACAATATTGAAAAAACTATGAGATAAAAATAATAAATAGTGAAATGTTATTTATAGAGAAAACTTTTGAGAAAAACGCTTCAACAGTTGTCTATTTCCGGAGGAACACTATACGTCTATAGAAAATGTTTACGTTTTGTATTCAGGAAACGATAACTACATATTACTGAACGAAATATGCATGGAGGAAAATGTTTCTTACGGTCTTTAGTGGGCGACTAATCGACACAAAATCTTAGTTCACAGCTCTCCGTCTTACTCTTATCATAACAGAGTACTTAATCGGTTGAAAATTTCTAATGACATAAAAGCACCATTTCAAAAAAACTGAACGCGTAAAATAATGTCGAGAGCATAACCTCTATTTTATTCCCGTTTAGCAGCATTCCTATTGTAATTAACATGTGGTATAAACCACCTTGGGAATACGAGTATTATCAGAAATCGTGAGGATGAAAGGCAGACAAATTCGTATAAAAACTTAATATCAACGTTATAGATGTGATAACCATCACACACAGTACAGTGAGACAACAATTGCCTTCAAAAACCGAGTTTGTCTTCAAAATGCTAGGATTGTTAAAGCTAAAACTTGATTCTTATACTAGAAAATTGACTCAAAGTGATATAAAATGTTGGACTGACACACCTTGATTACGCAGCAACTTATGCTTATCAGAAATGGTGTAGAATGTGTATTACATGACAAAATATGAGACTAAACAAATTTTTTACACACCAAAAAATGCAGGTAGAGACAGCCAGCCTCTAGAGCAATCAGCATGGACAACAAGACCGTCATACCTAAGGGAAAGCAGGAAATACAATGGGCAGCTTGGATACAGCTAGACGATTCGGATTTTGCAAATTACCTAGCTCTTCTATCCCATATACAAAAAGTGCAAGTGAAGGAAGCCAGTGTAGTAGTAGCCTCTACTGCAGTATGCCTCAACATACATAAGGGAAAAAGCAAGGCCCTGAAAGACAACAAAGAGAGTACCAATCGAATCACACTTAATGGAGAAGCTCTGGAAGATGTGGAAACTGACGTGCCGGGACAGTACCATCAATAAACAAGAAGGATCTGATGCAGATGTGAAGGCAAGGACTGGCGAAGTAAGGGGCGCATTCATACAGTTGAAGATTATATGGAACTCTAAACAACTGACATCCAACACCGGATTAATAATATCCAATAAGAACGTCAAGACAATTCTACTGCACGGAGATGAAGCTTGGAGAACTACTACAATCGTCATCAAAAAGGTGTAAGCATTTATAAACAATTGTTTACGCAAGATACTTCAGATCTGTTTGCCAAGGACGGAGTTGAAGGGACAATTCTGGTGGACGGCCTACACTCGACCACGAAGGGTAACAGGTGCAAGTAATATGAGACTGAACTTTAAAAACGTAAATACTGAAAAGTCAAGATGTTTGGTGGCTGCCCGACAATCCATATCTGTAACATTGGCGGAATCTGTGACAATACCATGAGACACACCAAAATTTATGATGGACATGTAAATAATGTCAACTATCTCCTCACACTAAATTCAACAGCTTTGAAGCATTATGTAGACAATACATGGCTCAAAAGTGGAATTGTCTGAACGGATAAACCTAGATTTGTTGTTAATATGCAAACTGAAGTTTAATTTTCTTCTAATCAGTAGGTTACAGACTCGAAAACAACTTTGACTTTATACCCTATCAATGAATCGCAGTTATCAGTGCAACAAACAACTGGAAAAATGAACATAACGAATCGCGGAATAATAACTTTAGCCTAGTTAGAATGTTTAAAGCATCTTTCATACACACAAGAATGAGATTAAATACCAAACCAAGGTCAAAGGTAATATGAAGCGGGTAGGTTAGGATTACTGCTAATTGAAAAGTCGCTTGACAGGTCTCCACACATCATTGTACGTTAGATCACTCTGCCATTCGTTTCCAAGTCTGCTGTTGTGAATAGATATACTGAAATATGTATATACTGTCGAGTACTACCGAGAGTTGTATATATATATATATATATATATATATATATATATATATATATATATATATATGACTAAACAGTTGTATAATGGCTGAAAGTCTGGGCGTTTGCGTCAATGAAAGCCTTTTTGTTCGAAACCATGGTCACTTCGTTAAAATATGGATGGGAAGGAACTGCAATTCTATTAGATAACATCTGATTTAAATTCATGATTTCTTATCAGCTAGTTATTGTTTGCGACAAAAAGTACAAGCGGGACATCCGTACTCTACATCCAACTTATTTTGGTTCGATTGATCTATGAACAATACGCAAACACATTATCAACACTCAAGAACCATCGAAAATAAATTATCTCCCTTGTCACGTAATATGGTGTCTGAATACAATAACCACCTCTTTGAATGAAAATACGAAAGGAATAGTAGTTTTCGATGCTGCTCACCACAATACATCGATTTCACAAAGTGTCCAGTGAATATTAAACTTTAATCCAGGTTTATATAATGGGAAGTTTTTCAGCACAATAACAGTTAAACCGATTTTTGTTCGGTTAAATGCCTGATTACCTTAAGACAAACACGTAACGCTAAATTTCAAAAAGTGGGTTCGTTAGATCAAAAATCATTTCTTAGCATTCTACACATCAAAATCAGATCACCTCTTAATTCGCGATAGGACAAAGAAAAAGGTCTAACTTTGCACGCCGCCTTTTGTGTGGCGAACCCCGGAATTCTGGAACTGCAAGTGTAGCTGCCCTCTGTACATTTTCCAGGATATCCGAGTCGTCTTTTAAACAGGAGCATATAGCCTGAACGCAATTTTCAAGCTTAGTTCTCACTAAGATTTTGTATACTGCAGTGAACATGATAACTTGGTGAATGTCCGTCTTAACGCCCATAGGGTTCTAAACCTCCGTGCTGCATAAAAAGCGCGCTATTCGAACGGGAAGTTTAGTCCTAACGTGATTTACATTTCTCAAACTTTTGCTGTGTTCTTACGCAACAAAAGTATCATTTCCAATCCAAAGAATCTATTTTGAGCCATATGTTTGGTAGATTACTTCTTTTTTTGTGTTTCACTCAAATTAATAGTTAACTGTGGTTTTGCCTCAGCTCACTATCGGTTTTTTTATAGTTTTCACGTAAAGGCTAGCTTTAGCTTATCGTTAACTGTTTTTATACATTTTTGCCAGTTTTTGTTTACTGTGTGTTTTTTTTAACGGTCCTAAATTTACTGCTTGTATTTTTAAGACAGCCTAAATCACTAGCCATGAAAAATTCATGCAAGAGACCTGGTTGCCATTTTGCCGTTACATCTGGCATGCAATGTGACAACTGTAAAGGTTGGTTCCATGAGGCATGTACAGATCTAACAGCAGCAGCCTATAGCACACTCAGCAAGTCTGATCGTAGGTGGGTATGTGTTACCTGAAACACCGATACGGTAGTTATGTTGGGTACTATCATTACTTTACTGACAGGTCTGAGAGATAAGTTGTCTAATAATTCGGTAAATGATAGCATCGTGACGGGTAACAAAGCTGGAACGCATAGGGCAAATAAAAAAAAGGATACTGACAGGTCGGTTATCGACGGTGCTGTTAACAGCACGAGTGATGATGTGCTGAAACTCAGCACCATCTTAACATCGACTGTCATCGACTCCCTCAGTAAACTTGGGTCCCACGGGGAACAGTCCTTGAATGAGACAGTGGTTCCCAAAAATCCTGTAGGTGGATGGACTCACGTTAACAAGAGTAATAAAGCCCAAGCGTCCCCTCCGAAACTGAACGTCCCAAGTATCGTGCGGAAATCAATTGATGCTTTGGCCGCACAGTCTACACTCAAGACTGTCCGCCCGGTCATCACTGAGCCCAGGAATCGAAAACGCGCCTCGACATCCAAACAACAAGATACCAAACCTAGACGCCCTGGAAAACCTGGGAAATCAATTGTGGTTCGTGACGACTCTGTCATAATCATGAACCTTATTGACAACCCCGACCTTCCTCTCAGTTTGCAGGACAAAAACGACAGGATGCTCTGGGGAGAATTAATCAAGAGGCTTGAACTCCCTAGAATAGAGCCTTTGACCGTCAAACGGCTCATTCGGGGGAAGGACTCTAACCACCTAAACCACCCGAGGCTGCTTCGTGTTACACTTAAGAATGCCTCCGACGTAGAGGGCGTCCTGCTAGCCAGTCACTTACTGAGGTCCGATGGGAACGTAAGAATACTGCCCGACATACCGTATTCTGAACGAAATCTCATCCGGAACATCCCTAAGGAATCTCGCGAGGCGTTTTTCCGTGGACGAAATATCATTGTGCAAGGTGTGCCGGAAAATATGGACCCAACTCGGGCAAACTCTGATATTCGGGAATGGAAATTCATCAAGCATTCCTTAAAACTCAGGAACATATTGACCCAACAGGTAATGCGACTGGCCAAGAGAGACGGAGACTCTAGGCCCCAGCTGCTGAAGATAACCTTCCCCTCCTCCCATATGGCGGCTGCAACTCTGGAAGCATTTCGTGCCAATAGACGTCGGTTGCCAACTGGCATCCATATGCATCCGGATAGGCCCCACGACAGCAGGATCAAGCACAAACGAAAGCTGGAGCCGACAATTCCACTCGTGGACTGTCTTGATCATAAAAAAACGTGTAAAGGACAGGGACTACCAACTCGGTAAACATCGTATAGGTAGGCTACCTGTCCACTCACACACGGCTCATAAAGACAAACAAGAAGAGGCTCACGCGTTCCAAATTGAAAGCATAAACTGCCTATACACGAACGCCGCGAGCTCGCCAAAGAAAATGGATGAGCTACGTGAACTTAGCAACGCTAATGATGCCCATCTGATAGGAATATCCGAAACTTGGATAACGTCTCAGTTTACGGACCAAGAGTTAGCAATAACTGGGATGTCTTTATTTCGCAACGACAGAAAAACAGGAATGGGGGGTGGGGTAGCACTATACGTACGGTCATGCCTGGATGCGCACCAACTTCACAATCAAGAGTTTCACAATCTTGACGAGTCAGTATGGTGCTCAGTAAGATTATCTACCACCTCGAGGTGCCTAGTTGGGGTCGTTTACTGGAAGCCCACTGCCGACATCGAATATGACAAACGTCTGTTGGAAGGATTAACTCGCTCTATGCGTCTCGGATTCTCTCATATCCTGATTCTAGGGGATTTCAATCTCCCTAGAATCAACTTCGTGGAACATACATACATTGGTGGTGCCAACTCTACTGAAGCTCTGTTCTTCAACCTTATCGGCGACCTGGGATTATTTGAAAAGTGAAGTCGGCAACCCGTTGGAGAAACAGTCAGACGCCGTCACGCTTAGACTGGGTACTCATAAATGAAGAATTCCTAGTTGACGACCTCTCAATCCTGGCTCCCCTGGGGAAAAGTGATCACGCCGTCTTATCATTCAGCTTTGTCAGCAAAACGGAGTTACGATATCCTACTAGCAACAAGCGCTGGAACTTCAAACGGTTGAATGTGTTAGCTTTACAGGACTATCTACAACAGGTGGATTGGGATGTTCACCCTCAAATTGAAGTGGATGCTCATTAAGACTTTTTACTGCACACGATCTTATGTGCTACTGAGCATTCAGTTCCTAAAATGGTCCCAAAAAGCTACAAGCAACCTGCAATCATCAAGAACCGCACTCGTCGTTTGCTAAGCCGCAAAAAGGCACTGTTGGGCTGAATATAAACGAACTGATAACAACGGCGCGTACAGGCAATACAAACATATAAGGAACATATGCACAAAGGCAATAAAAGAAGACAGGCTTCAGTTCCAGACCAAGCTTATCGATAGGTTCGTCTCCAATCCGAAAAGCTTGTTCAGTTATGCAGTTTCTCTTCGACAAGGCAAAACTGGAGTTAAGCAGAGATGGATAGTGGCTAGCAGTGGAATCCAGGACGCGCGTTTCGTCCTATTTGGGACTCGTCAGCTGGATGTACCTGCATCTCAGAGTTGATGTTCTTTCTGGGACTCGAACCCAGTACCCTCGCTTCAAACGCCATCGCGTTATCCACTCGGCCACTGAGTCCTGATAGCCACTTGCTTGTGCGATGGGGTGAAGTTTAAATTCAACTTAGTATTGTTTGTTTGGATCTTCCCATCGATGTGTTGCAGGTACATCCAGCTGAGGAGTCCCAAATAGGACGAAACGCGCGTCCTGGATTCCACTGCTAGCCATTGTCCATCTTTGCTTACCATGCTTGTGAATAAAGGTATATCGAGGCAATACACACAGTATGCACATATGCCAATTAGAGACTGACCAGTTGCAGTCCTAAACACATCGATGGGATGATCCAAACAAACAATACTAAGTGAATTCAAACTTCACCCCATCGCACAAGCAAGTGGCTATCAGGACTCAGTGGCCGAGTGGATAACGCGATGGCGTTTGAAGCGAGGGTACTGGGTTCGAGTCTCAGAGTGAACATCAACTCTGAGATGCAGGTACATCCAGCTGACGAGTCCCAAATAGGACGAAACGCGCGTCCTGGATTCCACTGCTAGCCACTATCCATCTCTGCTAACCATGCTTGTGAATTAAGGTATATCGAGGCAATACGCACAGTATGCACATATGCCAATTAGAGACTGACCAGTTGCAGTCCTAACAAATCGATGGGAAGATCCAAACAAACAATACTAAGTGAATGAAAAGCAATGAAATTTTCCGATAAATGAATATTCATACACTAATTCATTGATTAATGGATACTAACCACTGTCATGTTTCTTTAATTCAGGACTTTCCGAAGTGGACCTGAGTGCTGACCTGGTGCTCCATAAACTGCAAAACCTAAGAAAAGACATTTCTTCTGGTCCGGACATGGTTCATTCCGCTGTATTGAGGGAAGCAGCTTCAATCCTGGCGACACCACTTAGCGTGATGTTTGCACACTCGCTAAGCAGAGGCAAACTACCGGAAATATGGAAGCTGGCCCACATCACACCAATTTTCAAAGGAGGTCGACGCAGTGAACCCTCAAGCTACCGACCAGTGGCCCTTCTCTCCATACCTTCAAAAATTATGGTATCCCAAGTATTCGACGGCATACTAGAATACTTATCATCCTCAAAGTTCTTCTCGCCTCAACAGCATGGTTTCAGAAAAGGTCATTCTTGTATGACCAACCTGCTGACTGCAGTGGATAGATGGACAACCATCCTTGATCGCAAGGGGAAGGTTGACGTCATCTACCTGGACTTCTCAAAAGCTTTTGATAGGGTCAGCCATGCATGTCTTATCAAGAAGCTTGGACGATTGGGTATAAAACCCCCTTTGATTGATTAGCTCTCTTCATATTTAGAAAACCGACACTTTAAGGTCAGGGTTAACTTCACTCTCTCTCAGGCTATGGAATGTCCTAGTAGGGTCCCCCAGGGTTCAATACTAGGACCTCTTCTCTTCTTGATTTATATTAACGATCTTCCTCAACAAGTTTCATCCAACTTATTGCTTTTTGCTGATGATGTGAAACTTTGGAGACAGATACGTAATCATAATGATATACTAGTTCTTCAGGAGGATCTGACCCGACTTCAAAGTTGGGCAGACGACAACGGACTTACCTTCAACACTTCAAAGTGCAAGGTAGTCCATCCGCGACATGTTGCATACTATAGTTACAAATTAGGTAACTCCTCTCTAGAAGTTTCCCAAGTTGAAAAAGATTTAGGAGTGTTGGTACCCTATGACCTGAAATCGTATGCGAACTGTGACAAAAACGCCTCTCAAGCAAACCTTGCACTGGTAACATTGAAGCGCATTTTTGGCCAGTTTGACGGTAGAACCTTCCATATAATCTTCAACAGTTTTATTCGTCCCCATTTAGAGTACGGAAACATAGTATTTCCTCCCTCCCTCCAAAAGGATAAGGTCACTCTGGAACGTAT